TAATCTGATTTTGTTAGAAGTGAGGATAGTAATTGCCTGAAGGATAAAGGGAGAGGTGACCAACAGGGTGCATAAAAGCATTTCTGATCGTTTTTATCCATGTTTTGGTTACATGGGTGTGTTCATTTGGGATAATTCATTGGACCTGTGTACTTAATGTTTCCTTATTGTTTGTGTACTTTTTGAATGTGTATTTCAATTAAGAAAACTTAAAAAAAAAAAGGCCAGTGTGACTGACTCGAATGAATATGAGGAAAGTGGGGTATGATAGACCATAAGATCAGGGAGAGAGAAAGGGACCAGATCACACAAGCCTCATCATAGATGAGATTGGCAGGTCATGAAGAGGATAATACTGATTTCTTTGACCTGAATAACTGGGTGAGCAGTGGTGCCATTTACTGAGGTAGAGCACATTTAAAGAGAAGTCAGGAGTTTTACCTCTGATGTGTGGATATTGAGATACATGTTAGACTTTTAAGTGGAGATATTAAATAGCTAAATATAAAACTCAAAAGAGAAATCAGGGGTGGGGAATAATTTAAGTCTTTAATGTTATAGTGCTTAAAATACTTGGGGCTCATGGGAGAGATTACTCAGGCAGTGGATATGGAAGGAACAGGGTGCAGGTGAAGTGGAGTAAGGGGATGACATCTGATCTTTGGGGCAGATCAACATTTTGATGTTAGGGAGAAGAGAAGGAGCAACTAATGAGATAAAAGAAAAACAGGAGAATATGGTGCCTCACAGTCAAGGGAAGTGTTTCCTGAAGCAGGGAGTGAGCAACTCTGTCAAATGCTATGGAGATATCCAGTTAGATGAAATGAGATTTGATTACTGGGTTAATTCTATGCAGGGAAAGTATTTGAGGAGAGTAAGGAATTGCAATAGTGTGTTACAGTTGGGAAATGAATCTCTATAACTGTTCACTAATACAATAAAACTTGAGGACTCTGAAGACTTTTTAGTCTAGCAAAGGAGTACCAGCTGAGATTAATGGTTAAATAGTATATAACAGTAAAATTTGGAAGCTTCAAAGGTGACTTATTACAAGCAACCCATAGTGGATTCTTTTATATAAGATACAAAAATTTTATAAGAATCTACCACAAAGGTGCTACACCTGTATTAACATGGATCAGCATTTATATTCTTACCATCTCCAAGTCAAGTGACTTGAACTTTCCCAGCCTTCATCATAATTATAAGGCTCTTTAATTTGGCTTTTAATGTGTCAGTGATCTCTTATTCTGAAAGCTTTCATTAATGACTTCTTACTAAAACCTTGAAGCCTTTTGATTTTGTTCATTTTATTAACCATGGCTAAAAGAAAATGTGTAATACAAAGTGAAGAACTGAATGAGTACCTGAAAGTTCTACATGAAAGAATATGGGGCTTATAAATTTCTTTCTCCATTGAGATCAGGAGTTAGAGTGGGCCCTTTGAAGAGAAGTTGGCCTGTTAGGTGGTTCTTCTGCAAAGGAATGAGGGTTCCAGAAGATAATGGGAATAACTAGTTAGGGAGAGCGGTGTTAGGAGGAAAAAGCACACAGCAGTGTCAGGATGAATATGCATTTGAGGCCAATGGACTGAGGTGGCTTATATTGTGTGATGCTGAGGCAGGACAGGATGTAGGTCTGGTTCTAATTGAAAATGGTGAAGAGACCTTTTTTAATTGAAAAGAACAGGGATTCAAACAGATACAGAAAAGAGAATGGAGCAGTTATTTGACAAGTGCAAGGGTCAAACAGGAATCCAAAGACAAGAATCCCAGCATAGCTTTTCTTCCTGAAAATTGGACTGTGAATGTGGACTTAGGGCAGTTGTAAGTAGTGTTTGTGTCTGGTTTTCTCCAGCTGTCTCTGCTGCTTTTTGTGTGCTTGCCGTGTTCTCTGTCATACAGGCTGCAGGCAGCCTTCTCAGTTTTTTTGCCACAACCTACATTATTTCAGCTTTCACTTGGCTGTCATGTCTTCAGCTCAAATTTCAAATGATCTTTAAGCTTTGGATGTCATCAACTCACAGATGCCCACCTTGTTTTCATTTAAATACCTAAGACTGGAAATTTTGTCTAATACACATTGCTCCCCTCTTTGCTTCCTTGGCCTTGGAAGCTATAGCTTCCATTGGCTGCCCTGGAGTCCAGTGCCTGTCCCTTGTTCAGCCACAGCTGCGGGGATAGCAGTCTCTGAGTAGAGCAGATTCCTGTAGAGAAAGGGCGTGATGGGGCAGGCAAGATGTCTTCCTCATTTTAAAAGTATATGATTAATTGAAATTGTGAAGACTTGGAGTTTTGGAATAATGGCATAAGGCCTCTGGCTAAAGGAATGAGCATGGAGAGAGGTAGGAGTTAAGTCAGAGAGCTAGCCTGGGCTGTATTATGCAGGCCATGGGATTGCATTTGAAGTGTGTATATTGTGTCTGTAGCTCAGGTAAATATCCATCTTTGTTCAAATGCATATTAGAGATACATGGGGGGAAAGTCTGAAGAGTTGAATACCAAATGAATAGTAACTGTGTCTCTGGGGAGAGGGAGGAGCCAGATTGGGGGCTAGTGGTCAGTTACCTTTATATGTGAATATTCAATAAAGGGGGATATAGTCATGTGCTGTTTGTGGAATTTAAAGTTAATTAAAAGAGGTTGGGGTGGGAGGCAATAACCAGAGGAGTGTGGTTGAGGGAGGGCCAGTCTGTGAGACCTGTCAGTCTGTGCAGCCCCAGAGGGAGGCAGCTCTTCTGAGTCCTAGGACTCAAAATAACATAATCTAAAAACTGCAGATCAGGTCCAGCTCTCTTAAGTTCTTGGCAGAACATTCTGAACACTAGTAACTTTCAGCTACAGTGTGATAAATTAAAAGTGAAGAGTTAGAATGTGAGATATGGATTTCTTAAAACAATACAATATTGATAAAATTAGTCATGTTTTATTTTAAAATTTGTGAGATTTCATTTAATCTTGAAATATATACAGTCTAATTTGGGTTAATATTTTCAATTGATTGTGTCATAATAGACTACCTATCACATGATATATTGCCTGTACAAAAAGTATCAAACATTATAGATTTACACCAATGGATGTAGGTATTGACTGAAGAGTTTTACTCATTTTCATGTTTATTTACATGGTCTTTTAAAATTTAAGCTTAGCATGCAATACATAAAACTTAGAAGGAATTGCATGTATTTTTTAGTATTTTCCCAAAAAGGTTAAAGGTTTTGAGAACTTAAGTGGCTGAACTGAGTGTGAAGCACTTGAAGAGTTGTGTAAATTGTAATGAAAAATTAGAAGAATCGGGTAGAAATGAGGTCCTTTCTATTTAGCTAACACTTATAGAACTCTTACTAAGTGCCTAATATTATTCCAAATACTTTACATGTTTTAACTCATTTAATTCTGTGAGGTCAAAGATAAGATTACACTAGTTAAAAAGGATCAAGAATGAGATGAACTAAAGCAACCTAACAGAAGTTCTAAATAATGTGAAAATAGAAAAGTGTGCTAAAAGGTGAGCATGGACATAAACTTGGGTACTTTGTCATAACAGGTACACCTCTTCTTTCAATTTATTCAAATGTGTCTGTTTATTCAAAGATACTGTTAACTTTCCCTTTTTCAGTGGCATTCAACAAATCAGACTTTCTGCCAATCTTTTAAAAATTATTTTTTTACTTTTTTATTGAACTATAGTTGATACACAATATTATATTGATTTTAAGAATACAACACAGTGGTTCAACAGTTACACACATTAAATCCTCACCCCAACTAGTGCCGTTACTATCTGTCAACACAAGAAGATGTTACAGAACCACTGGGTATATTCTTGCTCTACTTCTACTCCCATGACCAGCTTATATTATGATTGAGATTTTTTTTGTCCCTTTATCTCCCTCCTCCTCCCCACCCATCCTCCCCAATCCCCTCCCCCGTGGTAACCACCAGTCACTTCTCAGTGTCTTTCTATGCTATTTTATTCATTTTGTTTTGTTTTGAGATTACACAAGTAAGTAAAACCATATGGTATTTATCTTTTTCCATATGGCTTATTTCACTGAGCATAATGCCCTCTCAGTCCATCCATGTTGTCACAAAGGTAGAATTTCTTTCTTTTTTAATGGCTGAATAATATTCCATTGTATATATGTACCACATCCTCTTTATCTATTCATCTGTTGGTGGACACTTTGGTTGCTTCCACAGCCTGGCTATTGTAACTAATGCTGCAGTAAACATAGGGGTGCATATATCTTTTCAGATCAGGGATTTTGTTTTCTTTGGGTAAATTTCTGGAAGTGGAATTACTGGGTCATATGGCATTTCTATTTTTGGTTTTTTGAAGTGCCTCCATTCTGCTTTCCACAGTGGCTGTACCAGTTTACATTCCCACCCCAGTGTAAGGAAAGTTCCCTCTGCCAATCTTTTTATTTTTGAAAACTTGTGGTTAGTAACCAATTTTTAAGAGTTATACAGTTGGCCCATTGAATGTTATATCTGAGAAAAATGGTGTTGCTACATGTATTTGATGAAATATGTGAATAAATAAAATGTGTTAATATTCTTCTCAAAACTACTGAAATTTGTTAGAATAGCTTGATTGGCTTTTTTGATATTTGGTTTTGCTATAACATTCAGTGGTTCTGAGGGGAAGTTAGTGTTGTATAATCTACATCTAGTTTGACATGAGAGAATTGAGGAAAAGGGCATGAAGCACAACACAGAATACTGATTGAAAACATCGTAGCTAAAACAAATGTATTGCAGATATCAGAATACCCTGATCTAAATACCCTGTATCTAAAATAAATACCTGTTTATTTTTTGCTCTTTACGTTCTTCTGAAATGTGGTTTAGGGTTTCCCTCTAATCCATCTCCTAAAAAAATTCCTGTGGAATATAAAAATAATTTACTTTGTTCATTATTGTGGGTATATGAATTTGTTTTGTTTTTTTGTTTTTATAATATTTTTAAACAACTTTTTTGCCTTATTTCCCTAGGGAGTTGGTGTCTCAGTTCATGGGGAATTCCGAGTGGCTACTGAAAAGTCTCTTTTTGCAATGCCAGAAACAGCAATAGGTAAAAAAAACTAATTTTTTTCATAATTACTTTTAGAATCATTCTTTGTTTGATACATTTTCAGGTTATACTGTTGTTGAAGGAATTAATGGAATCTTGGTGATATACAGCAATGAAAGAACATCTGAAAAGATATTAGAATAAGAAGGTACTTAAAAGTTTATATTAGCTCAATAAAAGTATCTGAAACACAAAATCAAAAATATTTAACTGGAGAAACAAACACACTATAGTTAATTTCAGATAAAGGATTATTGGAAAAATATTCTTGCATTCAGATCTGTGATCTATTTGAATTAATTTTTGTATACAGTGCAAGGTAATAATCAGAGGTATAGATCAAAGTTTATTTATTTTGCATATGGGAATACAATTGTTCCCACACCATTTTTTAAAAAAAGAAGCTGTTGTTTCTCCTCTGATTGCTTTTGCACCTTTTTCTGTATGTGGATCTTGGTGCCAACAAAACATTGTCTTGATTCCTGTTACTTTATAGGTAGTAATCCTCTGACTTTGTTCTTTTTTCCTCCAAGTTGTTTTGGCTACACAGATCATTCATATTTCTATGTGAATTTTAGAATGAGGTCATTAATTTCAACAAAAATATTCAATTCTATCATAAATGATTTTTTTGAAACATTCAGTTTAAATAGCTACCAATATATAGAAATACAATTGATTTTTATTGCAGTATAATTGATATAATATCCTATTAGTTCCAGGTGTATATCATGGTGATTCGGCATTTTTATGTGTTATAAAATGATCCCCATGGTAAGTCTAGTTACCATCTGTCACCATACAAAGTTATTACAATGTTATTAACAATATTCCCTGTGCTGTACATTATATCCCCATGACTTATTTATTTTATAACTGGAAGTTTGTACTTAATCCCCTTCATCTTTTTTACACCTCCATGGCTCCTTTCCTCTGGTAATCAACAGTTTGTTACCAGTATCTATGAATCTTTCTGTTTTGTTTAGTTTGTTCATTTGTTTTGCTTTTTAGATTCCACATATAAATAAAATCATATGACCTGATTGTTTATAGTTCATAATGTGTGATCAAAACCGAAAGTTTCTGTGATGACTTCCCTTGTACTGTTCACCATGTAAGAACTTATTCACTATGTAAGAATCTGTTCACCATGTAAGAACTTGTTCGTTATGCTTCAGAAGATTGGAGACTGACGAAAATTAGGCTTGGGGTGGATTAATGATTGTGCATTGAGCATTTACTCCCCTATACAGAATTTTATTGTTGTTAACAACCATTTGATCAATAAATATGAGAGATGCCCTCTCAAAAAAAAATCATATGGTATTTGTCTTTTTCTGACTTGTTTCACTGAGCTTTATGCTCTCAAAATCCATCCATGTTGTCATGAATGGCAAGACTTCATTCTTTTTAATGGCTGAATAACATCCCAGTATGTGTGTAAAAATCCATCCCACTTCTTTATCCATCACCTGTCAGTGGACACAATGGTTGCTTCTGTATCTTGGCTATTGTAAATAATGCTACAATGAACATAAGGTAACATAAATTTTTTCAAATTGGTGTTTTCATTTTCTTTGGATAAACATCCAGAAGTAGAATTGCTGGATTGTATGATAGTTCCATTTTTAATTTTTTCAGGAAACTCCATAACAATATATATAATATATATGTTTTCCATGGCTGCGCCAGTTTATATTCCTGCCAGTAGTACAGTATGGTTACCTTTTTCCACAGCCTTACCAACACTTGATATTTTTTGTCTTTTTGATAATGGCTAATCTGGTTTGTTTGAGGTGATAATGCATTGTGGTTTTGATTTGCATTTCTCTGGTGATTAGTGATATTGAGCATATTTTCATGTGCTTACTGGCATTTATTTGTTTTTAAATGACTGTTCAAGTACTTTGCCAATTTTTTAATTGGGTTGTTTGTTTTGTTGATATTGTTTTATAAATGTTTGTGTATTTTAGATGTTTACTGCTTGTCAGATGTACAATTTTGGAATCACTTCTCCCACTCAGTATGTTGCCTTTTAGTTTTGTTGATGTTTTTTTCTCTGTGTAAAAGCTTGTAAGCTTGATGTAATCCCATTTGTTTATTTTAGCTTTTGTTGCCTCTTCTTAAGGATACTGGTCCAAAGAAAACTATTGCTAAGACTGATATCAAAGAGCTTATTATCTATGTTTTGTTCTACAATTTTTGTGGTTTCAAGTCTTACATCCAAGTCTTCATCCATTTTGAGTTTATTCTTGTATATGGTGTGAGACAGTTGTCCAGTTTCTTTCTTCTGCATGTATGTGTACATTTTTTCCAACACTGTTTATTGAAGATACAGTCTTTTCACCATTGTGTATTTTCCCCTTCTTTATCATAGGCTAATTGACCATTTATGTGTGGAGTTTTGCTGGGCTCTCCATTCTGACTTATTGTCTGTGTGTCTGTTTTTGTACCCATATCATAATGATTAGATTACTATAGCTTTGTAATATACTTTCAAATCATGGCATGTTATACCTCCAGCTTTTTTCTTTTTCTTCTTGATTTCTTTCTTTGTTTTCAAGATTGGTTTTTGCTGTTTGGATTTTTCTTGTTTCTTGAGGTAGACCTGTATTGGTATAAACTTACCACTCAGAACTGCTTTTGCTGCATTCCCTAGATTTGCCCAAGGTTTTTAAAATAATTTTCTCCTTAATTTCTTTGTTGACCCATTGGTATTTAGTAACATGTTGTTTAGTCTCCACGTGTTATGTTCTTTCCAGTTTTCTTCTTGTAATTGATTTCTAGTTCTATACTATTGTAGTCAGAAAAGATGCTTGATATGATTTAAATCTTGAATTTATTGAGACATCTTTTGGAGCCTAATATGTGTTCTATCCTGGAGAATGTTCCATGTGCACTTGAAAAAAATGTGTATTGTACAGTTTTTGTCTGAAATGCTTCCTATGTATCTATTAAGACTGTTAGTCTAATGTGCTGTTTAAGGTCAATGTTTCCTCATTGGTTTTCTATCTGGGTGACCTATCTTTGATGTTATTGGGATGTTGAAGTTGCCTGGTATTATTGTATTACTGTCAATTTCTCCCTCTATGTCAGTTACTGTTTGCTTTATATATTTAGGTGCTCCTCTGTTGGGTGCATAAATATTTACAAATGTTATATTCTCTTCCCGGATTGACTCCTTTATCATTATGTGTAATGCCCTTCTTTGTCTTTTATTACAGTCTTTGTTTTCAAGTCTGTTTTTTCTGATAAGAGTATTGCTGCACCAGCCTTCCTTTTGTTTCCATTTGCATGGAATATCTTTTCCCATCCATCACTTTCAGTCTGTGTGTGTCTTTAGGCAGCATGTTTTTTTTTTTATCAAGCCACCCTCTGTCTTTCAATTGGAGCATTTAGTCCATTTACATTTAAAATAATTATTGATAGGTATGTACTTATAGCCATTTTGTTCATTATTTTATTGTTTTCTTTTTTTAGTTCTTCTCTGTTCCTTTCTTCTTTCTTTCTACCTTTTTTCCCTGTGGCTTGATAGCTTTCTTTAGTGTATGTTTGGGTTCCTTTATTTTTATTTTTTGTGTATCTCATAGGTTTTTGGTTTGTGGGTTACCATGAGGTTAATATATATTGACCTGTATATTAACAATTTATTTTAAGCTTTGAGTTGTTTCAGATCAGATGTATTCTAAAAGCACTTCATTTTGACTCCCTGCCTTTTATGTTTTTGATGTCATATTTTGCATCTTTTTATTTTGTGTATCCCTTAACTACTTGTTTTAATGTGCGTTGATTTTACTACTTTTGTCTTTCAACCTTTATACTAGCTTTCTAAGTGGCTGATCCACTGTCGTTACTGCATATTTGCTTTTACCAGTGAGATTATTTTTTCTCCCATATTTTTTCTTATTTCTCGTTACAGACTTTTCTTTCCCACTTAAAGAAGACCCTTTAACATTTCTTGCAAGGGCTTTTTAATGCTCATGAACTCCTTTAGTTTTTGCCTGTCTGGAAAACTTTATGTCCTTCAATGCTAAATGATAACATTGCCTGGTAGAGTATTCTTGATTGTGTTTCCCTTTCTGTACTTTAAATATATCCTGCCACTCCCTTCTGGCAAGTCTCTGCTGAAAAACCAGCTGATAGTCTTAGAAATTTTCCCTTGTATATGACTGTTTTTATCTTAATGGCTTTAAGATTTTCTCTTTCTCTTTAACTTACTATTTTAATTGTAATGTATCTTGGTGTGGATTACTTTGACTTCATCTTGTTTGGTATTCTCTGCTTCCTGGACCTGGAGGTTAAGGAAGTTCTCACAATTATTTTTTTCAATTAAGTTTTCTGCCCCTTTCTCTCTCTTTTCCATTATGGGATCCATATAATGCAAATGTTACACTTGATGTTTTCCTAGAGGTCCCTTAAACTATTCTCAGTGTTCAATTCTTTTTTCTTTTTTGCTGTTGTGATTGGGTGATTTCTGCTATTCTGTCTTCCAGATAGCTTATCCATTCTGTTCTATCATCTAATCTGCTGTGGATTCTCTCTAGTATATATTTCATTTTAGTTATTGTATTCTTCATTCTTTTTGGTTCCTTATATTTTTCTAACTCTTTGTTGACATTCTTACTGTCCTGAGTTTGATTAGCAACTTTATGACCATTACTTTGAACTCTTTGTCAGGTAGATTTCCTTTTCTCCATTTCATTAGGTTTTTTCCTGGGGGTTTTATCCTGTTCTTTCATTTGGGACATATTCCTATTTCCTTGGTTAGTCCGACATTCTGACTTTGTTTCTATGAACTAGGCAGAACAGCTACCTCTCCTGTCTTGAAAGAGTGGTCTTGTGTAGAGGCACTCCCCTTGTATGCTATGTGTGCCTAGCACTTTGGCTGGAAGGCCAGAGCTGGAGCAAGTGTGGGCCAGGAGGGCCCTGGAGTGCACTGTGTCAGGGCTGCCCTGGTAGGATGTCTGGATCTAGAGTGGGCATGTGCTGGAGTAGGTCTG